GACAGTTGCTCTATATAACGGCGCTGGGCATATGATTCTTCTTGTTTTAGAGCTTTAGTTAGTTGCCGTGAGGCGTATTTCAAGTTCTGCCTGGCAGATGGCGATCTATAGAATTGGCACTCCCGACGTAAGCGCCGCTTTTCTAGGACAAGCTGTTCGATTTGTAGATTTGACTTCTTTTGCTCGCATTGAATATTTGGGGTTGGGGGTGTGGAAACTCGAGCCGCAGTGACGAGTATGGACTCCAGTGTAGTTACAAAGTTGTCTATGTCAGCTTCGTCGTTGAGGCGAGGACATAGCTCAATATGTGAGCTAATATATTTTCTAAACTTGAGCCAGTTGGTTTTTTGTGAGGTCAGGTTAAACTGGTGTTCTAATATTCCTGGTTGTTGGAGAAGATGAAATAAAACCGGCGAGTGATCAGATGAAAGATCCGAAAGGCATTCGGCGCTTATAAGATTTTTGGGAAGTCAATAAGATCGGGTAGTTTCTTTGGGTCTGTCGGCCAGTATGTTGGTCTACCAGAAGAGACATAGTCAAGCTTGTTGTTGGATTTTATGATTGCATTGTAAAGCAGCTTCCCTTTTGGAGTCACGAGGCGAGATCCCCAGTGTGTGTGTTTGGCATTGTAGTCTCCTGCTGCTATAAAATGGTCACCTAATGTGTTGAAGAACTGCAGAAACTCATATTCGGTTATATTGAAACGAGGGGGGCAGTATACGGCGGCTAGAGTTAGTTGGTTGCCGGTAATCAGTTGTATGCCTATAGATGTGGCCTGTAGATAGTTTTTAGCAGTTTTGTTATAATAGTGGTGCTTAATACGACTTCTGATTAGAATGCCAGTCCCACCATGTGCTTTACCGTCCGGATGATTTGTTCCTTAGAATGAGTAGCCTCTTATTTGAAAATTGTATCTGTTTGTAAGGTGTGTTTCTGAAAGTAGCATTACATCGATGTGATTGTCGAGTAGAAATTGAGTTAACTCAAGTTTGTGCTGTGAGACGCCGTTAGCGTTCCACGTAGAAATTCGTAGGGACGTCATTATTTTGATTGTTGTGAGACCAGCATTTGAATCAGAAGATTTTGGTTTCGCATTAAATCTTGCATAGTTGTGCGCATAAACGACATAAACTCCATTAGGCTCTGTTGCAGGCTAACTATCATTGCTTCAAAGTTGCTTTGTGTCTGCTCCGTTGGTTGACGTTGTTGAGTCATGTTGTGTTCTAGACATGCTGCTTGTGGAAATGAAGTTTTAGATACAGGAAGAGCCAGTCCTAATTTTAGAGCGCTTGCAAATGTCACATTTTTGTTGAGGGTTACGGGTTCTAGTGAGGAGCTGGGTGCAGTCGAAAAGAAGACTTCAGGGTTTGATTTTGATGCTGTGAGCTTTGCGTTGTGGGAGCGGGCAGTGGTTCCTCGTTGATGGATGCGACTTTTTAGCTCCTTGTATATTGGGAAACCTCTGTAGTTGGCTGTATGATTGCCGCCACAGTTGCCGCACTTTTTTACATTGGAGTCGTTTTTGCTCGCTGGGCAGAGTGCTGAGTCATGAAGGTCTCCACAAACTGCACACACTGGGCGTAGTGTGCAGTATGACTTTGTATGGCCATATTCTTGGCAGTTCGTACATTGTACCGGCCCATTGCGCTTATGTGGTTGCTCTACTGTGATTCTACGGTGGAGGAGGATTTGAAGTTTGTATATGGGGTGCACTTCGTTTCTATTAAGGGGCTTAGTTTCCGGTTCGAGCTCTATCTTGAAGAGTGGTTGCGGTTTCCTATCCCTGTTCAAGATATTGAAGACTGTCTTAGTGTTAAAGCCTTTGTCTTGTAGTGCATTTTTTACTTCTTCAGGTGTTACATCGGATTCAATTCCTTTAAGTACAACTTGCAGACCCTTGCTGCTTTTAAGTTGGTACGTGTAGAAGTTCTTTTTCTTGTCATTAAGATATTTAGACAACACTCGGTAATTGTCTTCGTTCTTCGTTTGAACTTTTGTTTCGTGTATGCTGCCCTTCACAAGGGGAATTATATGGAAGTTATCTTTTCCAATAAGCTCAATTATTTTGTTAACAAGTTCATTGCAGCTTTTCTCCCGGATGTATATTGGGGGGGGGCTTCGGTTTCTTCTTCTCAGCTTCGGTAGCTTCGTCAACCTCTTCGTCAGTAGCGTCTTCCAAAATTTTAAATCTGTTTGTATTAATGGGCGTTTCAGTCTCAGCTGAATTATAATTGGCACGGGTTATTTTTCGCTTAGAATTTAGGGGGCTCAGCTTTCTTTTTATTTGGATGTAGCGATCCATACCAGTCTGCACAGCCGGCCTTTTATTTTCGTTGCTTATTGTGTATTTTTCGGGCAGCGCAGCGAACGCCGTTTTTGTGTTGGCTATGGGTTTGTTTATCGATGGCGAAGTTGCTGATGATGATAATAAACGGTTGGTCGATACCGTTGCTGCTGTTGTTGTCGTTGTTGTTGTTGTTACCGTTGCAGTGGTTAAAGACACTGCTGTGCTACTTACTGTTGATAATAATAGGTCAGTGCATACATGCATTGGAGTACACTCGGCACTTTTTGGCTTTAGAGACATCGATGGTAGCGCGGGAGAGCAAGAGCGCGCTCTCTCGCTCGTTACGTTCAAGAGGTCAGTCGAACTGGGGGTGATTGACCGCGTATTGTCTGGGTTTGCATAATTTTCGGTTGCAGTAAACGAGAAATATGCATTATTTCTGATCGATGAGAACCGTCTCTCGTCTTGCTCGCGCTGACGGTGCATGCGGATATCGTTTTGACTCATTGTCTTCACTTTAATTATAGTCTGCGTATATTAATTAATTAATTAATTAATATGTGTGTTTGCGATTACATCGCAAGAAGCGTCTTTTCGCGTTGTAGTAGGTTGGTTAGAAACCAATCTACCTATTTGTGCCCGAGGGTCTTTGCGGAATTTGATTATTTTCGATTTGCACTGGCTAGACCGACTCGCCTAGTGATGCTGATCAAGAATATATATACTTTATAGGGTCGGAGATGTCTCCTTCACTGCGTTGCAAACTTCTGACTGAAATTATACTACCCTCTGCAAGGGTATAAAAATAGATTTTTTAAATGTAACTTTTATATTTTGTAATTTTTTTAAAATTGTTTTCGACTTATTAATAATTTGACAGTTCAGAATTACACTTTGAATTTTATTAAAATCACAAAGCGATGTCATCTAGCTGCCATACGAACTATCGAATAATTAAGCTGCAAATCATCATATCTTCAATGATTTTAAATATATACGCAAGTAAATGATAATTTTAATGTTTTCAAGAATATTTAATTTTTGCAATAGCTGCAAGGGTATATAAACATCGGGTTGCCGAAGTTTGCTTACTTTCTTTTTTTTGTTTGCTTTAAAAACCAAGTACGCTTTCTATAAGTTTCTTTAAAAATGCAAAATGTTTTCATTCCTTCTAAAAATATAACAAATTGTTGTATAAATGGATTTTTTATAAGAATCGAGGTGGCCATTGATAACCAAGATATAATTCTTTCATGTATATCTTAAGAAAAGTGGGATCCATCGAAAACCTTCTCCGATGGACGGCGAATTATAAAGTACTCACGGTTGTGTCCACAATTCTTTGGCCGACCGATAGTCGGGTCAAAATTGATCAATTTTTATGTTTGTTTTTGGCAGAGGGTTTAATACGCCCTGTTCCAAATTTCACTTCCAAAAAAATCACACAGATTCGAATTTCCCAGACCTTTTCCAGTTTTCACTTCCAACAGATTCACGCAGAATCTAAATTCCCTCTGTTAATTCTCTGTTAACTTCCTAAAAAATCTCACGGAAACTTTCACCCAAGCAATTGGCTGGCGGATTCAATTCCGCTAGCGCAAATTAATAAAGTGCAGATGATATTTTTATCTTATTCTTTGATGTTTTATGAAGAACACTCACTGCATAACAAAATTGGTTAATAATAACTTGTTTGACTTTTAAAAAATTATTTTGCGGTTGCACCTCAGGATCGATTTCATTCGGCATTTTAGGAGGCTGCAAGGGTTGTCATGGTACGAAAAAAAGTATTTTTCTGGGACTCTTCTGGGGCTTTTTGTGTTCGTTTAAATGTCGTAAGATAGGTATTTATTCAAAGTTTAAACTTAACATAACTTAACTTACCGCTTAACTTAATGTTTTATGGGTGCGAAACGTGTTTCGTTTCCTTTTTCATCGCCTTTGGCAACTCTCGTTCTCAACACTACTTGTGAAAGGTCACAACGCTGACATCAGAAGTTTTTAGCACTGGCCATAAAGCGGCATACAATATTTTGAAAATATGTACGCGTTAAAACAGTATTCCATTAACTGAGGGACATCAGCGGGCCAAAATTTAATTAGCCCTGAGGCCGCAAAGCTCTGACAAATCAAACACTTGACAAACAAAAGGGACAAAAAGAAAGGAAATTTCTTATTTTGAAGGGAAATTCGAAAATTTTATAAAATTCAGTTCCGAGTGAAAAGCGGAAACGGCCTGTATTACTTTATAAATTATAACTCGATTTTGAAAATTTTTAAGTCTAACGATAGGTATGACCGATTTTTTATTTTTTAAATAAACTTGCGCTGCGTAAAAAATTTACTAGAATCCGTAATTAAAATCTCTAGCTTTTATAGTTTCCGAGACGTTCATACGGACGGACAGACAAACATGGCTAGATAGACCTATTATTATTCAAGAAAATATAATATTCCTTCTACCTGTTAAATACTTTTCAACGATAACAATAAACCCTTTTACTCAACGAGTACCGTGTAATAAAATTGGTGGTGGTACGTTTGGTTTCTCATTATATTACAGATATTTTTATATATAGCATCTTAGACTTTTTTCTCATAATTAATTTAACGGAAGTTAGCTCTATTTTTCTTGTTGGCTATAAGATCATAAAATATTTAAGAAATTAATATCGTACCACAATAATCTAAATCGTACTAATTTCTTTCTTAGCAATTCGGTCGAAATGCTGGAGAACTTATAAAACAAGCAGCCAAACGGCAACAGGAACTTAAGGATCCTCAGTTAAGGGACGACTTAGCAGCTGCTCGTGCGATGCTTAAAAAACATTCAACTATGCTTTTAACTGCGTCAAAAGTGTATGTTCGCCATCCCGAACTAGATCTAGCAAAAGTGAATCGCGATTTTATTCTGAAACAAGTGTGTGATGCTGTCAATACCATAAGCGATGTTGCTCAAGGAAAGTCTTCCCAACCGACAGATATTTACAGTGGAGCAGGAGAGTTGGCTGCAGCTTTGGACGATTTTGACGTAAGTAAGATTAAGATTACTATTATTATAATGAAGATTTCTATTATTTCCGTTAAATACAAATCAAAAATTACAACATTTAAATCATGTTCACGATCTTGTGTTCCTTCCACTCTATACGGAACAAACAATAAAATAATTTAAGCAAACAGTTGCAGTATAAGCTTATAATTTAATAACTTAAATAGCGACCAAAAACTTTATAAAATTGTTATTATATTTGACATTAAAATGAAGGATCTAAAAGCTAAAATTTTATAATTAAGGCAGTGTCATAGTAATGAAGTGTTACCTAATAGAAAAATGTTGTTTCGTACTACAAGAATTTCTAGAATTCGAATTTAAAATCTCTAGTTTTTATAGTTTCAAAATCTTGACGTTCATGCAGCTTGCAAATGAGGCTCTAATATTGTGGCGCTCAGGTGATAGTCGAGGGAGGATTTAACGATAACGGCAGCACCACCACGATGCCGATCAGGGTGGTTGGCAGAGTGTACAGCACATCCATAAGTACAGAAAAAATAACGCCTGGTAAAATGCCTAAGTAGAATGTCAATGTTGCGTTCCTGGTGGAAGTGCTCAACCTCCAGAGATTGGATAACTAAGCCATCATGCTGCTTCACCTTAATATAACAACTGATTTCAGAAGGCTTCTGACAGGTCTTGACCGGTCGTTCAGTCAGAGAGGTCTTGTCAGCAGTCACAATGTTTTGCTGGCATAGTGGGCCCATTACATTGTGGCGTGAAACACATGCTGGTAAGAGCTGATTTGAGGATACAGGAAGACGCGAGGTAAAAAAGTTTTGTGAGCCGAGGGTATAGATGTTTTAAGGATACGCTTTTGAATCCAGCTTACGTCTTTCAATCGCCTCTAAAAAGATAGGCAGAAGGAATGGGCAAGCCTTGTCCTTCTTGTCATGGTCACCAGCACTTCTGGCCCAGCTTGGCAAAAGTGAGCAACAATTTTTAGAATGCCAAATTCTTGTCTTCTGACCTTATTGAACTTATTCTCTGAAGTTTCACTGTCCCCACTAGATAATCATATAACCAATCACTAAATGAGTTGATAAAGTCATGTCAGCTTAATAGCTAAAGATTTGTAACTTTCGCAATCGTATTTTTTAATGCGTTCGCAGATCCAGTTTAAAACCGGTGGAGATTAAACGGATATATCATATAGCTGCCATAGGAACAATCAGGCCGAAATGGTGGATTTCGCCGTTCTATTTAAGTTTGTGTTTTTAACGCTGGGCTTAGCCCTAAAATATGTTTTTATAGTATTAGAGATTTTATCAAACTGGTTGTATATATCCTAAAGCCTATAACTGATCATGTTAAAAAGTCTTGGTTATCGGACGACTATATCCAGGAAAAGACAAATTTAAAAAATGAACACATTTAGTCAAATACGCATTTTATTCCATTCAATACATTTCGAATTTTGTGCATTTGAATGGCTTTACTCTATTTTTTATTCCCGTTACTCGTTTACACTATAAAGTATATTTTTGATCAGGATCAATAGCCGAATCGATCTAGCCAGTCCGTATGTTAATTGTTAATTATTTATTAATGTAAGCAATGAAGTGCTTGTGAAAATAATTTTTTTTATCATATAATTCTATGATGCCAAACGACAATACGGGGAAATTTTTAACGATACGCCCCTACTCACTTCGAGGGGTAGGCACATAAAATTACGAATCAGAATATGACAAAAAGTTAACAGTTTATTATATTTACACGCTTTTTTGGGAGCCACGTATACTTTGTTTATCTTATCTTTAACTTTTATTGATTTATAGTTAACAACAACTAACTGCTAATTTACACCTACATGCTAAAATAAGTTAACTTAAATAAATAAATATTACAAGATTCGAGAAAAGCATAAATGTTTGATGACAACCCATCAATAGAATTTTCCAAAGGTATTACAGGATACACTGCATTATAATTTGAACAAAGCACAAAGCAAAGGGCTCATGAAGGGCAAAGTTGGATCTACAAATTGGCAAGTGAATAGGGCAAAAAGTACGATTAAATCTTGAGCGAACAGCGATGTCAATATAGCTAAGGAGGAGGCCAGAGTTCACCTCACCTATGATAAGCTTATGCCATAAAATTACTCCGATGCACATTCTACGATGTTTTAAAGACTTTAAATCAATTAACATTAACCTTGCCGAGTAAGGTGGCAAACCCCTCACCGGGTCCCAATTTAGCTGTCGAAGAGCAAATAATAAAAATTGCTTATGGACTGACTTGATTCATTTTTGTTGATCAATATATTGAGGGCAGAAAACCAATAAGAGCCATGTTGTGCGAGAGAAATAATGGAGGCACATATATGTTGAAGTTGACAAGTGACCAGCTGCTCGAAAAGTTTAGGTATAACAGAAAGTTTGGCTATACCACGATAATTTTTAACATCGGACCCTGAACCTTTTTTATGAGTTGGAATACAAGTAATAAGAGATTCATTCCAAATTCTCGGAAACTCTGAAGATAATAAAGGTAAGTTAAATAGAAACGTGATTGGCAAAGACAGAGCTTCGGCACAGTTTCTTAGAACAGGGATGTTTTCAGGGTAAGGCCGCCTTAGTCTGAATTTTTGCAACGATCTCATCATTCAACAAGGCAGAGAAAAGGGAGGGCTTCTGAGGACATTTGCGAGAGTGTCGTTATTAACAAATATTAAGTCAAAAAGTCTATCCATATGTTTCTTAACAAAGTTTATCTGACCCAGAGACAAGACCGTCAGGCCGTCGATAAAGTCGTGCTGGTTTTCGACAAAAAACAGATTGGAGTCCAATGAATAAATCCAAGACACGTTAGATATGTTAAAATCGCCAATTATAATTAGGTGGTCCTCATCGACAATAGAAGAGGATACTAATTAAATGGCAGACAGGTGCATTAAATAGAGAGAAGTATCAGATCTAGGTGGAATGTAAAAGCAAGTTATATAAATATTAATGTTATTGATATTAATTTTAACTGCAACGAATTCAATGGAATGCGGGTTTTCAAAAGGAAAAATCTCCGATGAAAGTGATTTGTAAACTGCAATTAATACGGTCAGTTCCATAGGTAAAACACTTATCAACGAATATTTCTTGATCGGAAACCGAAGAGTTTAGCCATGTTTCAGTTAACGCAATAACGTCGGCGTCGGTGGAAAGACTATTAACATACACCTTACTCAGTTTACCCAGTGGCTTCGCACATTTTGGTATAAAATTGAAAGATTCGTTTTACTTAGATTTTTGAAGCAGCTGATTTTGAGCCACGAGGCTGGTCTTTCTGAAAATATTCATGTACTAAAGTATTAACTGACCAAAGTGTGGAATCAAGTGCCTTAGAGAAATAAGAATCAAAGATACGAGTTTAAAAGAAGAGAGTCGTCACGAATATTGATTTTTGAATAACCTCACTCAGAGGAATCCCAGAGACATCAGAAGTTGCCACGCTGTTTCTTGAACGGTTACTTCTCGGAACACCACTTAAAGGAACATAAGTGCGTTTAGGAGCCGCAAGGCTTGGGCCAGGCATATCGTTGGGGAAGGAAACAGCACCAGATGTAGAAGCGGATGTAGGAGCAGAGTTGGTAGCAACAGGAGCAAGTTGTAATTCAAGAGAGACCATGTTTTCTTGCGGTAGAACATTGCCAAGTGATTCCGTAGCCAATGAGGCACGCGAGGGAACAAAAGAAGGTCCACAAGGGGAAGTGTGAGCCAGTGGCAGAGACGGTGTTAAGTAGTTCGGCGAAAGGTCCATATTATTATCGAGATGGATGGTAAATCATAAACAGGAAGTTGAAGATTATTATTTGGGATTTTTCTATTCGTTGACTCGCTAAGAATCTTAAGTCCAAGAAACTGAGCTTCCACTGCCAGGAATTTTTCATTCATAGCGTTGAAGATTTTACGAACTTCAATAAATCCAGTCCTAGTTTGCCTCATGAACGTACGCATTTATCCGTCATCTCGCGGCAAGACGTGCAGGCCCAGGTAAAACCCCAACACGGCCGTTGAAGCCAGCTCCAGCACACTTAACATGCGAACAGTTATCACATAACCAGCAGATCAGGTAGGTATCGCCACTAATATACTCGCATTTATTAGCAGTGCAAACGACGGTCATTTTGGTTAATTATCAGGTCACTATGCACAGAAGAAGAGAGGAGCGCGAGTGTAGTTTGTGAGCATCAGTATCAGCCTCAAGTGTAAGCGAGAAATGTTGGGCAGCAGCTGCAAGCCCTTAACGGCAGCGGAGCAGATACCGTATAAACGTTGAAGCAGCAGCGGGGTGAAGAGCGGTCAGATGTAGGCGTTGAACAGCAGAGCAGCAGCCACCATGACCATGCAGAGCAATAAGAAAAATAGTCAATTGGCAGCTTATTTAATAAAATATACCGTCATTAACTTTTAATGACTATATATGTATAATACGTATTTATGTAGGTAGCAGGGTTACTGACAACCGAGCTAAGCAAAGTACGTAAAACTCCGAAAAAAAACAGTGTGAAAGAGGAGTGTCGAATTACACGTCCGTTCAGATGAAACTCTCTGCAGTTCCTGCTCTAAGACATGAGACTTAAGTTTTTGGACTCAGTTATGCTATTGTTTTAGAACTTATTGAGTTATTAAGTCCTCTGCGGCCGCTCTGCCGCTGCTTGTCCATTGCTTTGCCGCAAAAAAAACTATTCTATGCTATCCTGTCCTATCCCGTGGTAATGGCTGATGTGGAGAGACAGAGTAAATGAACTTATAGTGAGGGGTGTTGGCTGACAATGCAGTTCCATCGTCGAGGAGTAAGAATTGACTTGAGCTATGATAATGAATATTTTTTCGTCACTTGCGGAAAAATGACCGGCTAGAGCTTAGAAAACTTTTGAGCGAATTGGAAAAAAAATGGTAGTGTTCTATGCACCTGGTATCCAAAATTCCTTACTAACTTACAAGTAAAGCTTGTGGAATTCTACTATGCAAACAATG